ATTTCAACCATTTGCAATTTTGGTCGAGTGAGTGATGGGTGCAGCATGTTTTGAACTCATGTGTTGCTCGAAATGTTTTGAGCAGGTACGAAGGTCCTGTTTTGAACAGTTTGGGGATCACGTATGGTGATCGAGGCATTTTGAGTTTGAACACCTTTATTTTTTGTGATCACTTGGTTAGTGGTAACTTGATAGTGTTTTTTCATCTCTGATTGTTCGAAAGCTTTGGCCGCCGCTTTGTCGAATATGGCGCTGCACCTTGGGCATAGCATGACTTCATTGTCAGCTTCTTTCTTTCGAGTTAGAAAATCCACTAGCGAATACCCTGCCCTTGGGAAGATTTCAGCTTCTTCTTTTTCGAAGGCTTCCAGGGTGTCATTCAAAGAGTGTTTTCCCTCTAACTCTTCCACAGCTTGATCGAACGATCCTTTTTTCTTTTCAGCGACATCGACCATCAGTATGTTCATATGTTCCACAAAGTTGGCTTCAACTTGCATAGGATCCAAATCAATTTTCATCGGCATCTTGGGTTTTTGCTCGAATTTCAGTCTTCCGTACTTAATAGCGTCTTGAATCAGATCCTTGAAACGAACACAATTGTTAGTTCAATGACCATAAACATGATGGAACTTGCAATATTTTTTACCCTTTCTTTGTTCTAAAGTAGGGATCTTATGATCATCAAATAATACAATTTGCCCATCTTTCAATAAAATATCAAAAATATGATCAGCTTTAGAGACATCAAAGGCATAACTTTTATTAGGCCAAATTTTATCCTTAATTTCGAGTGGTTTTAAAGATTGGCAAACATAAGGGGGTCCAGGTTTTAACTCAGCTACATTCACCTCATTTACCCCTAAGTCGACGTCTTTTTCGTCAAAATCATTCTCGCTTCCTATTTCTCCCTCAGCGAGACCTATGTAAGCTACTCTGTCTTTTCGAGGAAATTTCTCAATTTTTCTATGAACAGATTTTTCTGCCTTAAGTTGCTCGATTTGCCTTACTTTCGTCGCTAATTGCGACATATCTCTTAGCTGCTGATTAATCAATTTCTTTCTAATCGAATATTCTAATCCGCCTACAACCATTTGGACTAGTTCATATTCTGGAACTTAAGTAAAACATCTCGACCTCATTTGTCAAAATCTACTTAGATAATCATCAATGGATTCATTATGCATCCTTTTTATATTGACTAAATCCATTAAGCTAACTTTTGCTTCACCACAAAAGAAATGTTCATGAAATCTTCTTTCTAGTTGATTCCAATTATGAATTGAATTCGGGGGCAAAGTTGTGAACCAAGTAAAGGCCCCCTTAGTCAAAGAACTAGGAAAGTACTTCAACTTTAAATCTTCATTTCGAGCTAAATTCTCACATTCTATGACTTATCTAGCTATATGTTCAACAGTGGATTCACCAGACTTTTCGGCAAATTTAGAGAATTTCGGGACTTCCAGCCTCGAGGCAGTTCAGCCTGCAAAATTGTCTCAGAAAATGTTGAGACAAAATAGGGTCTATTTGCATACCCTACGTTGAACCCATGTTGGTTCAACACTTGTTCGACAACATTGGTAATATTTTAGGGATTCGGGTTGTTTGGATATTGAATTTGATGCCCCCTACATTATTTTATCTAATTTGCTCAAGTATTTCATCAGCATTTTGATTTCGAGTAATAATAAAGGGTTGATTTACCTGGAAATCACCCTCATTGTGTCTCGGAGGGTTTTGGTCAAAATTTTGACCAATTTGCTCAACTGGAGCATTTTGATTTCGAGCAAAAATTAGGGGTTGGTCCACATGGCAATTTCCCTCATTTTGTCTCGAAAGGTTTGGGCCATAATTCCTACCATTTTGCTCGAAAATTTGACCATTTCAATCAAAATTTGTGGCATCTCGATTAGGCATTTAGGCAACATTTTGCCCTTGCCTCGTGGGGACTTGAGGCACTCCAAAGACGTCAGCAATTCGACGCATCTGTTCAGCCAAAACATAATAGCTGTTGTTAGTAGTTTTCACTATGAGATTCAACACAGTGGTCATCTGCTGGGTCAGCATATTGACCATCTCGTGATTACTTTCATCCATTTGTTGCCTCATAGAATGTAAGGCAACATGTGAAAACGAGCTAGCAGGAAGAGATTCCCCACTCGAAGCTCCAAACGAAAATTGCGCTCCTGCTATTCCACCAATTGTACCCATTCCCGGTGGAATGGTATGGATCACAGCCATTCCTGATGGAATGGTGTGACTTTGGGATGACACGGTTGTCACCACAGGGTGGAGTAGGTTTGTACTCCAAAGATGGGCGGCATACACACAGGAGGCAGGCCGAATAGCTGATCACCCAGCCTTGGCCTTAGGCCAGGATTTATGTTGGGATTAGTTCGCATAATGGCCATAAATTGGCTAACTACAGGGGATGACGGCATAGGTAACGCCGTTGTTGGTGTGGGTTGTGCGGTAGTAGTAGCACCGCCACTTACATTTCTTGGGTTTGTAGTACTCCCATCGTTCCTAGAATTATCATTCCCAGAACTAGAATCACTATTTCTTCCTTTATTAGCCATAATACAACGTCCGTTACGTAATATCATGCAACAAAACAATCAATCATTCAAAAACACACTAAATATAGTCCCACCGGATGTGCCAATTTGTTTACGGTGAAAAATGACAGTTTTGTAAACAAATAATCCAAAGATCAATCTGAGGACTGGATTAGGTCCTCTTTGAGTTCTTTTAAGTGTGTTGTTAACGTAACAGTAAAATGGACGTCGCAAATTAAACAATTTAGCAAGAGTAGTGAATATGAAACGTGTAAAACTGAATCACAACGTAGAAGTTTTTTACAGAAAAGTGCGAAATAGGAAACAAATCGCAGAAATGAAATAAGCAACAAGCTGAAATTAAAATGCAGAAAGGTAAATGTGCAAAAATGTAAAGGTGCGTGAATATGAACGTACGACTCCTCTCAACAGCGAACAGCAGCCACTGTGAGTCTCCTTATAGCTGGTGTCTGGCGCGGTGCAGGGTTTCAGCGTTTCAGAGAATTTAGGTGCGGTGTCAGGGTGCAAAAAGTTGTCCGTTGTAAAATGATGCTTTGGAGTATTTATAGGCAGGAGGACCACCACCGTTCTCCTCCTTTCGCGGGCACTTCTTAGTAACTACCTTCAACTGTGAATGTCCATTATCCACGATTGCTTGTGATTGTGCTGTTGGTTGGGGCTTCTTTCGTAACCGCTATCGCCCACGATCTCCTTTGCCTAGTGGTAAATGTTGATGACTGCTGGTAACCGCTTTTGAATTTTGCGATGACTTGACCTATTAAAACTTTTGTTTTTCTATTTTTTGAGTATTTCTGGAAGAAATCTAATAGGCTCATTTAGTGTTATGGCCTTAGAATAATTTCTTCTTGACTTCTCTTTTTGACTAATTCTGGGGTTTTGAGAGCTTTTCTTGGTCTCGTGGACTTAAAATATTTTCTTTGCTCATTCCTGTTTTCGAGCAATTCTGGGGGGAATCTGGAGCTAAACCAGGTTTGTGGACTTAGAATATTTTCTGATCACTTCTTATTTTTTGAGCAGTTTTTGGTGTTAGAGACTTGGAAACTCCTCAAAAAGGCCATCAGTTTTGTGAACTTAAAATATTTTCTTGTCAGTCTTATTTTTCAAGTAGTTTTGGATGTTAGTGACTTGAAAATTCTTCAAAACTTTTCGAAAAAAGCCTTTAGTTTTGTGGACTTAGAATATTTTCTTGTCAGTCCTATTTTTCAAGCAGTTTTAGAGGAAAATCAATAAAGTGACAAAAACCTCTAAAATAGCTTGAAATGTGTCCTTTTGATATGAGACAGAAAGGTTTTGGATAACTTTTCAATGTTTCTCAAGTTCAGACCTATTTTTAGGCTCCTTCCAAATTTTCAACATTTTGTCGAAATGTAGCTTCCTTCAACATGATTTTTTAACTTAAAATTTTTCTTACCCCAAACACATGTGGTAAATAATATATTATTATTATTATTATTATTTAAAATTTATATTTTTTTAATTATTGCTATCATGTAAAACCTTTAAAGGAGGGGCAGAGAGAGACGTATCTTTTTTGTTGTTATTTTAATTACTTTTTTATTTTCATTTTTTTTACCATTTTTAGAACAGCTGTCCCACGCTACGTCAACATCTCTCTGTCTTGCTCTTGATATGGTTTCAAACTATGAGGATTTGAGTCTTGTCACGTGTAATTATCACACCCTCATTTTCTTCTATTGGATAAATAAAAAAATTAAATTGATGTTAACCTTTTAAAATTAAGTTAGTATTATTTTAAGATTAAGAAATTATTGATCAACTTTCTAATAAACAACTGAATTAATGTCTTTTCAGTCAATAATATATAATTTTTAAAATACACTCTTGATAGTTGAGAGGCACGCTAAGGTTAAGGGGATATGATTTCAAACTATAAGGATTCAAATCTTGACATTTGTAATTATCACACCCTCATTTTCTATTTTGGATAAATAAAAGATTAAGAGAATATTGATCAAATTTTTAATAAACAAATGAATTAATGTCACTGATATATAATTTTTAAAATACACTCTTGAATAATTTTTCTAATAATTTTATTTTCAAATAACTTTCTTAAAAAAAATCAAAGTCTCACCATATTAATTTCTAAATACAGTTTGGCGATAACTTAATATTTTTGAATCTTAAGAGAATGGTTTAGTAATAATAGGTTTTAACTTTTAAGAGATTAAAAGGATAAAAAGAAGAAATGGAGAAACTTTGGTACTCGACACATGCCCCTACAATTTCAACAAATTGATGTCACGTGAGGTGCATTGTCAATTCGATGGAGTCGTGCATTGCATCCAACCAAAAATTCAACCGCTAACCGCCTCACAATTCTGTTTTTGTCCTTTTTTTATTTTGTCATATCTTCTTATTGTTAATTAAATAAATTGGGAATATAGAATGTGCAATGCAACTTAAATGCAAGCACCATGGAAACCCTTGTTCTTCTTTCGTTCCTATCTATCTTAATTTTCTTCATTGTTATCCACAAACAGAGAAAAAACAGAGCAAAACTTCCACCAGGTCCTCCACATCTTCCTCTAATCGGTAACCTACACCAGTTCGATAATTCAACCGCACATAGCTTTCTATGGCAACTCTCGAAACTCTATGGCCCAATCATAGCCTTGCGCCTTGGATCCAAACCCACCGTCGTGGTTTCCTCAGCGAAATTGGCCCGAGAAGTGTTGAAAACCCACGACCTCAAGTTTGCAAGCAGGCCACCATTGGTGGCCCTAAGAAAGTTATCTTACAATGGACTGGACTTGGGCTTTGCACCGTACGGCCCATACTTCAGAGAAATGAAGAAACTCTGTGTCCAACACCTCTTCAGTTCTCACCGTGTCCAGTCATTTCGCTCCATTAGGGAACACGAGGTTGCCCAGATGATTCGGAAAATTTCCCAACACGAAGCCTCGGGCACCGTTGTGAACCTGACCGAAACTTTGATGTCTTTCACGAATTCGTTGATCTGTAGGATTGCGTTCGGGAAAAAGTATGGTTATGAGTACGAGGAAGTTGAGGTAGGTAGCAAGAGGAGCAAATTGCAAGGACTACTGAACGAGGCTCAAGCGTTGCTCACTGAGTTTTATTTTTCGGATTATATTCCATTGTTGGGGTGGGTTGATAGATTCAGAGGAATTTTATGGCGGCTTGATAAAATCTTCAAGGAGTTAGACGCGTTCTATGATCGAGTCATTGGGGACCACATGGGTTCTGGTAGGGTGAATAGTAAAAACAGTGAGCATGATGTGGAAGACATAGTTGATATTCTTCTCCAGCTTCTCAATGATCGTTCTTTCTCGCTTCATCTCACTCTCGATCATATAAAAGCCGTGCTTATGGTAATTACTATTTCAATAATTTGTTTTATATGTATGCTCTCTTTTTTTTTTCTTGTGGTTCATTCTTGTTTTGTGTATATTGTTTGGTTGTGCGCTTGGCAAGGCAATTGCCAATTACAGTAATTAGAAAACTAATAAATACGTAATTTAATGTATTTATAATATTAAATATTATAATTTTTAATAAAATTTATTAAATTTTAATTTTTAACATGTGTAAAAAATTTTATAAATTTTAGGTTAAAATACTTATTTTGTCATTATAGTTAACACTAATTTAAATTAATTTTTGTTATATTAATATTTTGTTAAATTTTATAATACTATTAATAAAAATTATTGTTTTTCTAATGATATTTTATTAATAAAGATAAAAGCATAGTAAAATATTTGTAGACAGATTAAAATACAATTTTTAATATAAAAATGAATTTATAAAAAAATATTAATTATGGAGAGCGTGTTTTAATCTAAATTTTAAGGAGAGATGAATGTATTATTTAATTTACTAATTCAGTTTATTTAATTATATGTGTGCAGAAGACGTTTTATAATTGTTAAACAATAAACTGAGTGGTGTGTGATACGTATGCAGAACATCTTTATAGCTGGGACAGACCCGAGTTCGGCGACAATAGTTTGGGCTATGACTGCACTGTTGAGGAATCCGAAAGCAATGAAAAAGGTTAAAGAAGAAGTGAGAAATGTTTTGGGAGACAAAGATTTTATAAACGAAGACGACATCGAAAGGCTTTCATATCTTAAAGCAGTGGTGAAGGAGACATTGAGACTGTTCCCGCCATCACCATTGCTTTTGCCAAGAGAAACAATGGAAAGGTGCAAAATAGGAGGGTACGAAATAGAACCCAAAACTCTTGTGTATGTTAATGCGTGGGGCATAGCAAGGGACCCTGAGAACTGGGAAAATCCGCAAGAGTTTTGCCCTGAAAGGTTCCTTGGGAGTTGTGTGGAGTTGAAGGGTAATGAGTTTGAGTTAATTCCGTTTGGTTATGGACGGAGAATGTGTCCTGGGAAGCACATGGCTCTTGTCAACGTTGAACTTTCAGTGGCTAATCTTATCCACACGTTTGATTGGGAATTGCCTCAAGGGATTCTGATGGATGAGATGTTAGACACGGAAGTGAAACCAGGAATCACCATGCACAAGAAACGAGACCTTTTCCTTGTGCCCAAGAAATCAACCATCTAGCACGTGTTCTATTGTTTTGGTAAATGTTGGTAAACACAATAATTAATAAAATCACGTTAAATTTTGTTTCTGATATAACTTTTAGGGTCCAAATGGATGCAAGTCTTAGTGTATTGGATATATGCAGAACCAAATATGCTCTCAGAGTGTTATTGTTTTCAGTTTATCATCATGTATGAAATTTTATAATAAAAAAAGAGAAGTAAAAACTATATGGAATAAATAATTTATATAATGAAAGAAAATTAAAGAAAAAAGTGTTGTGAAAATAAATCTAGTTAATATGCATCATATGACGTACACATAATGTCTTTCGTGTCATTTAGATTAGAAACTTAACAGTTCAATGTTGGACACGTATTCTCATTCTTTAATAGCCACGTGGCTGTGTATGGACGTGGAATAGCCAAAATTTCATGCTTGTCAAAGTATGAGATATTTTGTTTAAATATTAATAAATAACTGTTATGGTGATTGGTGGACAAAGTAAACACCACACACGCACTGGTTAAAATTTTAGACCAGTCGATGGATAAATAATCTTCATCTTATCTAACCACGTTGACCGTATGCTACATTAAGAAGAATTTTCTCTCATTTTCAATCATAATCTCGTATACACTCTCAAAATCTTCATATTTTCCTTCTTCCATTCCAAGTACATTTTCAAAACAAGAAACTCTTGTTTTGCTTTCCAGCTTAAGGTTTTAGTAAGTAGTCTTCACCTATCTTCTTGTTTTGGATATCTTTTCTTTTCATAGATTATTCTCTAACCTGCTTTTTTTTTTTTATTAATGTTTTGGATACAAATATTGAAAAAAAGTGTGAAGACTCTGATACAGAATCTTGACCGAGAATCATGACTTAAGGTAAGGGTGAAGCGAGTGCAAACTAAGAAATGGGCATTAAGGGATTTGGAAATTTATTTGGAAAATCCTAGCTTAAGATTCGACCAATTATAGAAGAAATAAAGAGAAATTTATAAGACTCTGTTTATTAAATTGTAAAAAGATATGTGAAGGAAAATATAGAATTATGATATTATACATGAACTTAGGAATATTAATGAAAGGGATTTTAACTTAGGAATTAGTTATTAAATTATTTAAACGCGAATTCTGTGAAATATGTTTTAAGAATGATTTTAATACTTAAATAAAAATTATATTACAAATAGAACAAATTAATAATATTGTAGAAAATAATAAATAAAAATAAGGTGAAAGATGAAGTGTTTAAATTTAAGTTGTTCAAAGGACTTGAATTTATGTCATAACTTTCGAAACAACTACATTAAACTAAAAATTTTAATAAAACTAATAATTATAATAATGTGCATGTTTTGAAAAATTGGGAGAATTTCAGTATTGGTGAAAAGTGTTATGGTGCTTATATTAACCTTTGAGGTGCTTTTTTTGTGTCAAAATTTAAACGAAAATTTGACGTACCTTGATTAATTAAACTTGTCGTCTCAATCACTATCATGAAGAAACTATGACTGTGATCATAATTTTGTATGAACAATGATGTCTTATTTACTGCTACTTCGTGTTCATTTTTCATTTATATTTAGTCTGCGTTTCTCATTACTTTTACTCTGAATGTGTGTTTGGCATATTGTGAATAATGTACAGTTGAATATGGAAAATCAAGCAAGTAGCATTTGCATGGAATTTGGCAGCGGGAATTAAGAGATTGATCGTGAGCAGCAGTTAGTTACTTTCGCGGGCACTATCGTTTGTCGTATATTTAGTGATACTGGAGCTCGGGAGAGTGAGGGTACCATTATAGCTGGAGAAGCTAGTTTAACTATGCCATTACCTGTTCAAGAATTATGAGAAATCTTATGTCTCACCCATGTTACAACTTATAAGTTCCTTAGATGCTTGAATGGCTTAAAAAGTAGTTGTTGGGAATTTTTATGTAATTTCTATCAGCTCTTAACTTGGTTTAGTATTTCTTTTTTAAGCATCTGTACTTATTATGTAAGTTTTGTGTTTAGAAGAAAATACGGTTAGTTATATGATTAAGTTTATGTCAACTTCAGGAAATCAGAACTACCCTTGTACATTATGAAAAGCATATTTATATAAATGTAATAAAATATTGTATGTAATTGTCTGTCATTATTTTATGAAAGTTGGGGAAATAAAAATATAAAATCACATGGGAGAAACACTGAGGAAGGAAAAAACTAAAAAATTATAACTAATAATGAACCCAGTTATATAAAAGCAAACTAATGATAGTACAATGATTATATAGTTAATGCGATCAATAGACTGTAGCTTTGCCATTGTGGCGCTGTGACTGAGTCTGTGTCTGTTCCTGAGAATGTCTAAGTTGGCTGGGGCGCTGCTGCTGCCGCTGCTGTAACAGGAACATTTGCTGGTTAATGGCAAGCTGCTGTGCCATGCGACTTGAATGGAGGGACTCTCCGCCAAGTTCTGCAACGGTGCGTCTCAGACGCCGCACTTCAGCATCCAGGGTCTCATTCAGAGCTGCACCAATAAGGAGTATGGACGCATATGGTGGATCACACAGGTTAGTATTTGTCTCCGGCATAAAAACAGGAGAGTGCAGTGCAGTGTATATTGCCGATGTATTAGACATACAAGATTACAGTGTATAATTGCATTTATTAATAGCGAAATCTAGTGCAAAATTTATTCATGCGCAAATTTAAAAGAGGCTATATATCATGCAAACTAGCATCTCAGAAAAACACGGAACTAGTGCAAAGTGCAGTTGGTTCCAAATGTTTAAGCATTTGTCCAGTTGAAACCAAATTCCTAGGCCAAATATGTAGAACTGAAAGACAGCCGTGCATAGATCATTGACATATTTGCATAAAAATCATTTTTGTTTTTGATAGCTAACATTAGCATGTTAAAGGGCTGAGAACCAACAAAAGTTTGAATAATCTTTACACACTAAAAAAGCCATACAGAAAATGTTGTTATTACATATAAAATGTATTCACTAAAAGAAAATCAGATATCATTGCACATGATAAATTAGACAGGTTATTTCTATACAAAAGTGACAAAACTATCTATGTCAAATTTCAAATAGAGAGTTTAGGCTTTATGTAGGGTGCAATATTTTAGCAGATTTGAGCTAATACGTAAAGTAAAGGGAAAATGCGTGTACATACCATCTTTCAGTTGGGATTGTTGTTCCAAGGCTTGAATACTCAATTTGTATTCATTATTCTCAGTTCTAAGCTCTGAATTATCCATCTGGAGGAGTCAAGCATAAAAAAAGGGGAAGAAAAATGAAAAAATGAATGATAGTAGCATGATTTATTCAAAGGCAACAAAGTATAACTGACAAACTCAAGAAAAGGGAATGTTAGCTCAGCTCAGAAGATGCACCTGTAACTTGGTAAATTGAGTAGACAATGCAATTGTCTCTGTCTGAAGAGTTTGGACCTTGTGCTCCAATTCAGTAATATACCGCATCTTCCGCTCCTTTGAGCGAGCAGCAGATAGACGATTAGCCAAAATCCTAGACAAGTATTTCACAGTAACGATGAATTTTTATATAGCCTTGGTTTTTTCATTTTTAAGAAAAAGGGGGATAGAAAGATGGGCAAAGAAAAAGAAAACTATTACCTTTTTGCTCGTTTGGGATCAGACATGGCAATTTCAGCAAGTTTATCATTATCCATTATTTTCTTTATCTCCTCAGAGCTGAATTCACCATTTCCAAACTCCATGCTGATTTCAGATGTTTTACCATCTATCGAATTGCTAGGCGAGTGTTGACCAACTCTGTTTTGCAAGGGAGGAAGCTTAGGTGATTCATCTCCAATATGAAAATTTCCCATGGAGCTGTCCAATGAGAAACTTCTCCGGTGCCGAGCACTAGGTGCAATGTCTCCATTAGAACTCCTCTTCACTCCTTCCCTCCTCTCATCTGAACAGCTTGAACTTGCACCTTGAGCACCGGTTGCTTTTCCATTCGCATGACTCTCAACTTCGTTGTCACTGCTTTCAACAGTCTTGGAACCACTTGTTCTGCTATCCAAATCCTTATCTTCCATACCAGAAAAATTCAGACTATGAATATTGTCCAAATTCATATATGCACTAAATAAATCATCCAGATCATCATCCTCTTTCTTCCCATCAACACAGTGCATATCTTTGTTTGGCTCCTTTAACACTAACTGAATTGGCTTCTCAAAACCTGAGTTCTCTGCTCTAGAAGCCGAATTGCCACGCTCACTCCAATTCCTAGACGGAACCAGCTGAGGGATAGACTGAATAAATTCAGAAATTCCTAAAGGGGAATCACTGCTAGAACGCCTATGTCCTTTTCGAGGAGGAAGAGAATGGCCAAGCTGAACCGCGTGACCGCGGTTAGGGGAAGGGGCATGAGAGGTAGCCAAATTCTCCTCCACAGACACATCAATTGAAATTGAGTCTGAAAAGGGTTCTTTATAAGGGGAAGGACTCAATGGGGGCAAGGAATCCAGAGAGAAAAATGAGGGTTGAGACAAAGACCTGGAATGGGATGATGATGCAGAGCTCAAATTGGGGGAACCAGAATTAAAAAATTGAGGATAAGTTGAAGAAGGTGAGATATTGGTATTAGGGTGAGAGGGTGGAATACCATAGGGTTTATGGTTCTCAGAAGAAGAACCCATTTGATTGATTTGCATAGCATTCAATCGATTTGGGGGTATATGAGCTGATCCTGATGATGAACCAAATGCGCAACTATTTCGATGCATATTAATTTGATCAAACACCTTCCACTCACTCACTAATCACTAACCTTTCTAGTTACAACTGCAAGTCAAATAAAAATGAACCAAAGTTCAAAACTACTACACTGAAATTTTTAACAGTTTGAAGTGACACAGCAATTTGTGAACCTGGTCATAGTTAGTTCAAGTTCTGATTGAAAAAGTGAAACCCTATCTTGCACCGGCACAATGACAAAGACTTGAACCTAAAGAACAAGGGTGAATTATTATAAGGAAAGAGTGTTTGTTTGTCAAGTAGAATCACATACATAAGCGTGGAAATTGGAGAGGGGTGCGGAAGAGGTTTCCAGAGGAAGAACATAAGCAGTTCAAGTGTCGAAGTGTGTTTGGACGATGAAGATGACGATGTGGTTGTGTGTGTCTCAAAGTAATCGTTCTTTGGTCGTGAAATCAATGCCTTGCGCGTGTCAACCTTCATACGCGCATGTTGCTTTCTTTCCTTTATTTCCGGGTTCCTTTTTTTTATTCTCTTGTTATTAGCTAATAATTTCGATTATTCTTTATTCCACTTTTTTAACTTACATAAGTAAAACTTTATGTTTAATATTTTTTATTAAAATAATGAAATGTCATAAAATTAAAATTATTAATTAATTTATTTAGTACATATCTTTGAGCATACATGGGAAATAGCGTGTTTATTTTCTATTATTAGTCGTATTTGATGTGAAATATAAACGTAAAAGGCAACTCCAACTCCTCACAGAAGTCAAACGTACTTTAACAACTTTGCATTTTGGTTTGACGACGGTGGCTAAACGCGTTTCCACACGTCGCGATTCTCGCGTATTTGAGATTACATTTCTAATTTTTTTATGTAATCTTGACTTTATAAATTTTATTTTAATTAAATTTTATGTTAAAATTAAGTGATTTGGATTTTTTGAAAATTAAGACGTAAAATTCCAAATTCGACGTGAAATATACTCGAATATAATAATAATAATAATTTCTATTGATTCTTTTTGCAGTAGATTTGTAATGTTTCATTTTGTAAAAACAAAAATACACCGGCCTCTTTATAGTAAACCATGTCTGTGTATGGGTTGTGATATAAATTATATTATTTCAATTTTATAGGCATAATATTTTTTTATAACAATAATTAGAGAGTAAAAGAAAAAAAAATACTGAAAGTAAATATTTCCTTAAAACATATTTTAAGTTGGTGAAAAAGATTTTAAGAAAATAATAAAATAAATAAACTTTTGTTTTTTATTTTCTTTTAATAAGTTTAAAGATAATAGTAATAATAAATAGTACGAGTTTTTAACACAAAAAAATATAAAATTAATTTAAAATGATTCTATTGGTTAAATAATAAGTTATGGACTTAAAGAAGAGGGGCTTGACAAAAAAATTATTGATGGATCATCAGTATAACTAATCGTTAAAAGCAAACAGTTTTATCATATTTAATTTTTTAACTGAGTATTGTCATATAATTAGAACACATATTGTGAATTAAACATGATAAATATAAGAGATTAAATTTTGTGTGCGTTTTTTTGTCAAGATTGTCAATTAATTAGAATATATTATTGATATAATTTTAAATTAATTATTATAAAAATTAATAACTCTTTGTAACATGACAAATTAATAACCAATTAATTGAATAACGATGTAATTTTTTAAAAAATGTTAGTGTATTTATATTAAATTTTAAATATAATTAATTTTATTAGTTAATTATATATAAATTATTGATATTATAAAATCATAAAAAATAAACTTTAATAAATTATAATATTTATGTTTTATAAAATATTGATTTTAGTTTTTTTTTTCTTTTAGTTTCTAATTCCTCTAAACGCAGTACTATTGGGTCCTTAACGAGTTTGAAGTAAGAAATTGTCATGCGTCCATTTTTTAATAACGAGTTCTTCATTGAAAAAAATATACTTAACAAAAATATAAATTTATTAGTTAGGCACTTGAATGAAACTGATCATAAGATTGGAGTATTGTAATTCAGATTTGAAGTTAGTTGACATGGCTGTTTTCAGTAAAAAGAATTTCTATCAAGTAGCATGTCTAAATCTTGTTAAAAGGAGGGTTAACAATGCACTTTATTATATTCTTTTGTAATTTATTAAATATTTAAAAAAAAGTGTATTTTTACAATTTTTATCTTGTCAAAAAGCTGTTGAGATACTTTTTCCGTGATATAGAATAAATCTTAGGTTAGAGACATGTAAATTATTTTCCTCGGGAAGGAAAGTTCATCCATCATTTTCTTATTTTCTATTTTTATAGTCGTCACTAATTGAATGCTCCTCCTTTATCAAATTGCTTCTCTGAATTTCTTAGAGCCCCCCCTTACTTGCAATCGTTTGCCCGTTTGACTTGTCAATTTAGAATATTGTTATGCATTTAGTTTGGGTGGATCAGATAATTTATCTTAACTTTTTTTTTAAATACCACTTTTAGTATATGTTTAATGTCATAAAATATAATTTTATACACATTACTATTTATAAAAATTATAAGATTTAAAATATTAAAAATTAAAATAAGCTTAATTATATTTTTTTATCATTGTAAATATTAGATATTTTATAATAGGTATTTATAATTTTTTTTATAAATATTAGATATTTTGTAATAAATTTTTATAAAAAATTTTATTAGAATTTAGTTTATCAACTCCCTCTTGTTGAGTGTTGGTCGACAAAGAGGCAGATTAGCGTTAAGCACTATATGACATGCCACGTTATTTATTATTATTTAAAATTATATAATTATAAATAAGTTTTTAAATATGTTTTATATAATTACATAAAAGTCTTTCTAACTTTTTTTTCTTTCTTCTTCTCACACCTTCGTTCATTTCCCTTCCTATGCACCCCTTTTCAACACTCTCTCTCCCAACTCCCCCTATTCTCCCTCACCACAACTCTTTCTCTCTTCCTTCTCCACTCTCATCCCCTTCCTCTCATTTTCCCATTTCCAACCCACATCTCTCCCTTCTCTCTCTTCCTTAACATAGTAATAGTTACAAATACAAGAACTTAGAGTGACTTCTCTAACAAGCCTATATGTTATTTAGTTATGAGGGTTGGCATGAATGTGGCATCGCTATGAATTTTGGCATCTCATTTATTGGCATTAATACTAGCAAGCTTTGTCTCATGCTTTACCTCAATTCCTATCCACCAATATACCTAAAAATAAAATAAAAATTATAAAATTAGACCATCATATTTTGTGATGTATAGCAGTAACACCACCCAAGTGTCCTAAATTTTGTTACAAAAAAAAAAGTTAACAAAAATTAACAATAAAGTACAAAGTGAATATCATAAAAAGTGGTTCTTTTGATAATCTACTTTTGATGTAGTAGCTAATTAGCTTAAACATATTATTTTTATTTAACGAGGATCATCCTTTGCATATCTATGTAGATTACAACGAAATAACAATTTTAATTAAAGGTGAGAACCTTGTTTCCATTGCCACCTAAGAGAAAATTGGAAGTTAAAATGGATACCATAAGTTGTCTAAATTTGGTGAAGGAGGAATAATTCTCTTGTGACAAAGATTGACAAAAGAAACAAAACTTATCTGAATGATAAAGGGAGGGATGTGCAAGAAGAGAAAGGAAAATAGGGAAGAAAAATGACTCATTTTCAATTATATAAAACATGTTTAGACAATTATCTGTAAATATTATTTTTAAATAATAAAAAATAAATTAATAAATAATGTGATATGTGATATGTTGTACATAAAAGTGCTGACTCTTTATCAACCAATAAGTTAGCTTAGCACTAAATAAAAAGGAAGTTGACGATATGAATTAAATTTTAATTTCTTAACTTTTTAAAGATTAAATCCTAACAAAAAAATTTATTATAAAATATTCAATATTTATAGGAATAAAAAATGTAATTAAACTTTTAAAATATTATAAGTTTTAATAAACTTTTACTCTTTATTAATCTTTTATTATATCTTCTAAATTACACTAAAAAAAACTGTTTAAATATTACTAACTAGTAGATGTTAAGTTCAAAGCATACGGAAATAGTCCTCATGCATCTACAAATTTACAATAGACGTGTGTAAAGCTTTAAAGCATTGAACAAATTGTCATTCGTTTTCTCTTTATTTTTGTTGAAAAAAAAATATATTAAATTTTATTATTAAAAGGAAGGAATGTTATTTCACTGTTTAAAATATTAAATTCGTGGCTTGTAAATTTTGCAAATTAAATATATTCAAGAAATATTGGTCTGATAACCTTGTATTGCTATTTTGGATATGTGAGAGTCTATTAAAGGGCCGAAAAGGCTCAAAGCCATGATTGGGCCAGGCCCAATTCAACCATCAACTTATGCAAATTATGTTTCCACCTCAGCGTATCCTTTGTTGAACAAAAAAAAGAAAAGAAGTCAGCAAACCCTGCCCCCGTTCTATAAAGAGAAGTTTCTTCTCCCAATACTGTAAAACCCTAATTTGCGTTTGCCGTTCCTTTCTCGTTCTTCTTCCTCATTCTGTTGTCTCAATCATTAGGGTTTCGGTTTAATCATTTGGTTTTCTTGTCTATATGCTTTCAGCTTAATTGGCCAAATGATGAATCTTTCAAATCGTTGAGAACTCAAACTTTGATTTGAGTGCAATGAATCTCTTTTCATTGAATAGGAAGATCTGATGCTCATACTCACATTCCCATTACCCCTATTTCTTATTATTTATTATATGTTTTTCTTATATCATCTTGGATACTCTACTCTTTGTCTCTGAATTTTTATTTCAACATTTGCTCCAACCTTAATAATTGCAAAGATATAGTCTCCTTGTCGTTTTTCAATGCAGTAGCCAATGATGAAGATATTGTAGTTAACCGAAATGCAATGTTTTGCATTTCTCTGTGGAAAATTTTGAACTAGGACGGTCTGAGGCTACTGAAATTGATTCACAATATTGTTTTCCTTCTTTTTGCTGTGGTATTTTAATTACTGGGTACGTTGATATTGGTATGTCTTTACAGAACAGTGCTGTGGATGATGAGAAATAAAAATTTTACAGTTATCCCTGGCTGATTTTGCTGGTGCTGAAGATTTGTAATCTGACGCGCACTGTTTGGTTAACCCTAAATAATAGGGTACTTGGGTGGATTTGATTATTCATTTGTGGATGTGCTCGTAAAGTTTTGCTGTTTTTAACTTTGAAAATCAGAGATGTTCAATCATGAAATTTGAGTAAACTGACATAAAGTTTCGACTTGTATGTATCCAGTGAAATTTGAGCAGGATTGTCAAACCTAATATGCTCGAATGATTGGTTTAATCCAAGTTGTTACTTGTTTTGGTCTTGTTGGATTGGCCAAACAAGTCCATGATTTCGTGCTGTCTCACAAGTCCAGCAAAGAACCCCGTTAAAATACTTTTAACATTTAAAATCAAAATTCAAATATTAAAAATACAACTTAATTTATTATTATACTTGTTTTACAAAACTAATATTCATGTTTAAGTTTAAAATCTAAAATAAAGATTAAAACTAAATCATGTTTTCAAGCTCAAAAACGCATTTAAACTAAAATTTAAGTATATGACTCATGAATTACGGGAACTGTATTATTTCCGTGAGTTTGCAGCAATGCGTGAAATCTATGCGTACGAGTGATTGTCTGGTATCCAAGGCAAAGAAAATGTACTCTATTTATGATTTAACAAAATTTGGTATTATTTTTCACTTCTAAATACTGAGTAAACTGATTTGAAGTTTTAAATACTGGGTGAAACATATAATAGCTTGTAGTATCAATTTCTCATGGATACATTTTACTCACTTCATATTAAATACTGAACATTATTATTTAAAATTGCAATTTTAATATTTTTGTTTTAGTTATAATTTAAAAATCATTATTATTTAATATCAAGATCTTATTATATTTTACTGAAAGTGTTTTAAAATTTTATATATATATACACACATATTGAAGAGTTAAAAAATTAAATAAAAAAAATATTAATTTACATTAAAAATATTTTAGTCATTCAAATATGATTTATATTTTGATTTATTTTAAACATAAACTAAATAACATATTGTTATTCGTTTTTATATATAAAATAAGAACTTATTTTTCTTTTACGATACAATATTTTAATATAAACTTTATAATTTATTATTATTATTATATCTTATAATGTTAAGTAAATAAACTTTTAAATTTTGATTATATTTTTTATCCGATTTGAATGAATGTAAATTTTATTTTTTTATCTTTTAAATATAATTTAGGTTATTTTTCGTATTGACATTAATTAAATTTGATTTTTGTCAAATTATTTTACTAAACACTCTTGATATTCAATTTCTAACTTTAAAATTTCTCAAATCAAATAAGTTAAATAATGTTGATCCTTTACTTGTTCAAAATTTATGAAATAAAATATTAAATTTCTATAAAATTAAACATAAATGCAAATAATGAATTTTAAATATATTAATAAACTATTTATTATAAATTTTATTTACAAATTAAGACAACAAATATTGTAATTTGTAATCATAAATAACCTATAAATATAGATTAAAATTATGTTTAAAAGTAAAAAGAAAGTAATTAATATTTATTAGATTACACACATCTTAAAATTTAACAAATTTAAAAAAAAAAACATATATTTATGACTAGTAAGTGACCTATATTATGAATAATAATAGGAATATTTTTTTATGAGAAATTACATTTCAAAATAATAATTTAAATGTTATTTTTATTATAATTTTAAATCTATAACCTGTATATAACATATATATTTAAAAATTCAACTATACAATATTTTTAAATTAAAAAATAATTAAATTAAGAGGGTAGTACATGACAACATCATATGTTCTATAATAATTCATGAGAGATGGTTAACAAAGAAAATGTATTTAGTGAATTTAAAATATATAACATGATTTAGTTAAAGTTATTATAAATATTAAGTGGGTTGGGTTGACTCATTAGCCTGTCAATCCATCTTAAAACATGTCAGCTTAAAATAATTTAACCTATTTTATATAACAGAACAGAATGGGTTAGTTGACTTTAACACACCTATATTTATCCTTAAAAATCTAATGTAACTTTTACTATAATTATTGTCTTGATATTATTGTGAAGTTTCCTCTTAGTCATGTGTTACTTCTAATTTTTATAAACGATTTGAAAATTTGTTTATAAATCCTTAAACTATGATGCATGCAATACATGACTATGATCACTCAAAGGTTTTATGGGAACAACTAGTTGATAATAAAATGTGGGATTTTGTTTGAAGAATTTATGGTCTTAGTTATTAAATCTACTTGAATCTTTAAATGTCTAATTATCATTAAATTTAAGTGATTAGAATATATCTTTTGTGCATCTTGCTAGTTTGTTTAGAAAGACAAGAATAACTTAGTCTTTTTGTTTTTCATAAATTTAACGTATTATTAGGGAACTTAAAGAAAACTAGAAGATTAAGTTGATTCTGTTAGTTTGTTATTTTTCAGTTCATAGATTTAGCTTTTATAAACTCTTAATTCCTTGCATGTCAGCAGTTTAATTTTTCAATAATAATCAGTTTCTAAAATCATTCCCGAATTATTTGTATTCATCTTTTCTTCTTTAGAGTTTATTTCCTTACATGGTATCAAAGAGCTTCAAGATCCATGGCTTCTGCTACATTAAATTTTGGGCCCTAAACCTTCTCCAATCTAATATCATCCCATCTTAGTGAGGATAATTTCCTCACTTGGCATCAACAAGCTGAAGCAACCATCATGGGATTTCGATTGAAGAAATACATTCTTGGTGCAAACTCAACTCTAGAGAAATTCAAGAAAGAAGAAGATAGAATCACTGAAGATATCACAGAGGCATATGAAAATTACGAAGTTCAAGATAGTCTTCTGAAATCGTGCCTTCTTGAATCTATGGCCTAATTCAAAGTTAGGGTTGTGGGTTGGGATTGGTCCTATCAGGTATGGGAAACCCTACAAACCTAATTTGCTTCACAAATAAAAGTGCGTATCAAGCAATTGAAGATTCAATTGCAAGGAACAAAGAAGACCACTCTTGTTCAACTCTATTTTCTTGAAATAAAAAAGATCATAAATATCCTTACTGCAATATTTGATGGATTACCGGAGGAGTATGATGCATTCATCACCATGATTCTGTCAAAAACAGATCCTTATTTTGTGCCACAAATTAAAGCTTTGTTTATGGCACAGGAAAAAAGATTAGAAAAGTATAAAAGAAATGACTCTACAACAATGCAAGCAAATTTGGTTCAAAATCAAAACAAAAAGATTCAAAATTATCAAGGAAGAGGTGGTCTTGGAAGAAGACAAAATCGTGGAAGAGAAGAACTCTGGAGGTAGGATTTTTGGTTTTGGAAGAGGCTCAAAGATCCAATGTCAAGTATGGGAAAACAGGCTATCACTTGTTAGTAAGATAAAAGCTATTTTATTAGCAGATTAGTATCTGAACTCACGAAATTGCTTTCATCTTAACTATATATAAGTATGTTTATAGTTTTTATTTTTCTGAATAAGTATTAGTTTTTTTCTCTATGTATATGGGTTTTGAGTTCCCCTTGAACTCTCTCTAATAATATGTATTTTGCTTAACAAAAAAAAAAATCTATACAATAATCAGCATATACAAACTTCAAACTTAGGTATGCAAGCTATGTTAGCATGCCCAAATTAGAATCTTGCTTATGATGATAGTTGGTACCCAGATTCTAGAGGTACAAATCATCTTACTCCAAAAATTACAAAATTATCCAACAAATCAGAATATGCAGGATTTGATAAGATCCACATGGGCAACGATAAGCCAATAAACATAGCTCACACTGGTTATTCTAATATTTTGTCTGATAAATCAACTATTTTAAAACTTGCTAATCTTCTACATGTTCCTGCTATAACTAAGAATCTTATTAGCATGTCTCAGTTTTTTAGAGATAATAGGGTATTGTTTAAATTTCACACTAGTTTTTGCTTGGAAAAATGTCAGGTCAGCAAGAAAGTGCTTCTGCAAGGAAAACTTAAAAATGGACTCTATGTGTTTGAACATGTAAAAATTGTTGATCCAAAATATTGTAATAATATAGATTCTGTTGATTCTGCTTCTGTTGATAAACTCAGTACCTATAATACTTCTACAAATTTAGTTTTTTCACGTTGTTTGAATTCTAGTAGTGATCTTAGCCTATGGCATTCTAGGTTAGCTCATGCCTCTTTAAAGGCTGTCAAACATGTAATAAAATATTGTAATATGTCGATATGCAATAAAACTAGTAAATCTTTTTTCTATAATTCTTGTGCTATTGGTAAATCTAAACAATTACCATTTTATAATTCTATAAGTGCTTATACTAAACCACTTCAACTTGTTTACTTTGATGTTTGGGGGGCATCTCCATCTCGTTCTAGGGATAGATATTATTATTATTATGTAAATTTAGTTGATCCCTGCTCTAGATACAATTGGGTGTCCTTTATGAAAAATAAGTCTGAAGTGTTTAATCATTTTATGAATTTTAAGACCTTGGTAGATGACAATTTGGGAAGAGATCAAAATGTCTACAAACTGATGGAGGCACGGAATATGCTCAAATTAGTAAATATCTTCACTCTATTAGAGTTGTTCATAGGTTCTCATGTCCATGTACACATGAACAAAATGGTTGTGTTGAAAGGAAACACAGACATACAATAGAAACAAGTTTGACTCTTTTAACCTCTTCTTCCCTACCATTCTTCTTTTGGGCAGATGCTTTCTCTACAGCAGTATTTGTGATAAATAGATTGTCTTCTTCTCTGCTAAACTTGCAATCACCTTTTAAAAAAGTGTTTAACCAAGAACCTAAGTATTCTGATTTCAAACCTTTTGGTTGTGCAGCTTTTCCACACATTAGAGCTTATGATGACCATAAGATGGATAATAGATATGAAATGTGCATTTTTATAGGGTATTCTCTTTGTAACATCCTCGTTTTTCCTAAATAGTTAATTTGTTAATATAGTTATAATTTAGATTATAATTCTTCAATTTTTAGGAAAAAAAATGCTTGTTT